GGGGCCAGTGATGGCCAAGCGCAGTCCGACGCGATGCCTGCGATTGCTGATGCGCGTAGTGGCAGTGGCGCTTCAAATACATCAAGTGATTCCAGCAGCAGCAGCAGCAGCTCTAGTAGTACCGACAGCAGCAGCAGCAGCAGCAGTACAAGCAGTGCTAGTGCCAGCGATGCAGAGGCCCCAGTTGCAGTCCCAGTTCCACCTGCCCCCAAAGCACGTGCTGGAGGCCGCAGAACAGCAGAGCGTGTGGTTGATTGGGGCATTCTCCGATTAACTCCGAAATTGAAGGGGGGTGTCACAGAGTCATGGCAGATCACTTGCCGCAATCCCGCTCATGTGCCGTGCAACAGAGCCCGCCATCTTAATGCGTGCAACAATGAGGAGGAATGCCTCCGCATGTTGAAGCAGTGGGCTTTGTTTGGCCTTGAGACTGAAAGCAAGCTAACGCATAAGGCAGCTTGGGCCCGTGTGGAAGCCATGTGTGCCAACAATTCTCTCCCCAGCACAGCCGATCTAGATAGGCTTGCCATCACAGATGTAGCCCAGTACACATGAAAGCGCAAGGCAGTTGTTGCAAAAACACTGAGCGCTGCAAGTAACTTTTTTGTGCGTGGAGATGTCATGTGCTGGCCTTGCAGAAACCCAGTAGCCCCAGTATTCCGGATACACGTTGTGTGTCATTCACTGTAACGTGCTTTAAGCAGCACTTACATGTGGGCAGCATCATGAAGTTTTCTTACATGTTTCGAAAACAGCCTCGTTGATGTTTTTGTTTCTTGCAAAGCTGAAACACAAGCAGTCCTGACATGTGCCAGTCAAGTTCAGCTGCAGTTCCAAGTGCCTTGAGTTTATGTGGCTCCGCCCTTGCAGACCTTGGGACCGTGGATTTGGACAAAGGATTGGGCAGTGGCCAAAATTGTTGGGATCATGGTGCGGAACTCTGGGGGGAATGAAGCTTTGGAGGGTAGGGAAGGGACATGCGCGGTGTGGGTAGAAAGGTGAGTTGCCAGATGGAGGGGAGGGGGTATGACAGGAGGGGGTAGAAGAAAGGGAAGGGGAAATGGATATGTCCTTTGCGCCTAGCAACATCCAATGTTGTGCGGAGTCGTTGCAGCGTGCAGACATGTTACTCTGCAGTGCAAGTGTGAGACCAAGTGCGTGTGCCCATTGTGTGAGTTTAAAGAGCTCCGCTCAAGCCAACCATGGTGGTGGGGAAGGCCCTGAGGGTATTCAGGGGGATGATGTGTTGATGGGTTGGCGGTTTTGCCCTCTCTTGGGGCTACCTATCACTTTTCTATCCTTTGCCGAGGGTGGTTTTCAGTCTTTGGGGGTTTGGGCATTCCCTTCTGAAAGCAAGCAGCATTTTCTGCTGCGGCGGCGGTTGGCATGTTCCAGGCTTAGGTTGGTTGAAAATCCAAAACATAAGGCAAGCCTACCAAGATTGGATTTTTGAGCTGTTTTTATTGTTTTGCAAGATTTCTTCGAGCTGTTCATGCATTTTGAGCAATTTGGGTTTTCTGAGAATTCCAGCCTCATATGGCTCTGGGGGGCCGTCTGGGGGGTTGCCTCGGAATGCCTCGGAATTCGCCTTCGGATGCTCGAATGATCTGGGCCTTGGTGCCTCGGAATTTTGCATTCTGCCTTTTTCCTTTCCCTGCCCAAGCCGAAACACTTGCACTGCTTTCTGGCTGCTTTGCTTGCCCTGGGTCTCCGATTCTTCGACTCCTGCCGGGCGCCTCGGAATGCCTCGGAATGCCTCGGAATTCGTGGGCTGAGATCAGCCCTTGCTGGCTTGAGGCCAAGCACCTTGATAGAAATACCAAAGATTTTCAACACAGGTTGGAGAATCTTCATTTTGGGCTGTTTTTTGCATGCAAACACAGCAAAGCAGCAATTCTGAGCACTGAAGGTATTTTTTCTTCATATTTGCTTTGGAAAATGTTTTTCCTTTGTTCTTGGCTTGTGCAACTCCTGCGACTACGTTTTTGCAGACACACCTTTCTGGGCCCTGCGACTAGGAATCTGCTTGCCAAACTCACAAAGTAGTTTAAAGTACTTTGCAGATGCATGTCAATGCATGTTACGTGATCATGATCAATGCATGATCCGGCTCAGGACCTGGAGTGCCAAATAACCAAGCATGTTACATGCTTTCACTTTCCACTTTCCAGCCTTGCGCGTGTCTAACTCTAGGCAGCCTACCTGGACGTGCCAAACAGACTCCCATAAAATAATATGTCAATAGAAGAGTTGCTATTGAGGTATTATTGAATTATTGTTTGACACTTCCTGGTAGGCAGTATAACTCCTCAGCACAAGCAGTCATTAGTAAGCAGTTCTTGTCAAGTTGTTGTGGCCAACTTGTGGCAGCAGGACACACAAGAGCCTACCAAGGTGACTTGCCCGATGGCTAATTCTGAGCTTGCAACAGGGTCTGCAGGGGACTCCGCTGCAGTGCGTGCCATAGTGTGTTCTCCGGTAGACAACTCAGACAACAATGACATGGCATTCCAGGCCGACCAGGTTGCAATAGCAAGCCCGCCTCGCAAGAAGTCCCGTCAGGCAAATTTGCTTCTCAGCAGCCGCCGAGGCCCATGTTCACTTGAAGAGGCTTTCCAGTGGCCTCTGCGAAAGCTTGAGCAGATTTGCGAGGACCCTGAGCGTGAGGGCCGACTTCGTGAGATATTGTTGCATGGGGTGTTGGCTTCATCAGATTTCAGTGGCATGGGTGGAGATAGGGAGATCATGGCGCAGCTGGAGTGTGCAATGAGCATCAAGCGCTGGCCGTTGAAGGCCGAAGGTAGGCGCTTCAGACATGTTCGTGCGTGTGACATCAGCCCCTTGCCGCAGCGTGTGCTATGCCACTCTGCAATGAGGAAGGATGCATTTCAGTCCTGTGTTTTTGCAGATCTACTGGATCGCCTGCCCGAGGCAACCTATGACGAAGTGATGGCTTTGATGCCAGAGGAGACGGATGATATGGAGGTAGCTATTGCAAAGTATACTTTGATTGACTCCTTGATCAGGGAGAGGCGCCATTCCATTTATACAGAGTCCATTTCATCTCATTGCGTGGTGCACGACCGGGAGTGTTGTCTTCAAAAATGTGCGCTGCAGATGATGCAAGAGATTGAGGCTGAGGAGTCTGAGTGTGCGGACGAGCCAAAAAGAATGCCGTTGGTTCTCAATTCAGCAGGTACTTCCTGCGTAGGGTGGTCGTCAGTTGGATTGAAACGGCGCCATGCCGACCCGAGCGAGGTCGCCCACAGCGTGTGGCTGAATGAACGGCTAGCCTTTGCAGAGGCCGGGGTGGAAGACTTGTTCTTCCAGGAGTGTACAGTGTTGTACCCAGTGCTTTCAAAGCTGTCCCAGCCTTTGTCGGCCACGCACACCGTGGTCTCCGTCAGGACAGGGCCGCAGATGCAAGGGTTTCCATCGCAGCGTACGAGGTCCTTTGCAGCTGGCATAGTGAATGCAAAGCTGATTTGGCTGGGCCCAGAAGATCCACAAGCAATCCAGGATGATTTCAACAGTGTATTTGCCAGTACTTTGGAGCTTCCAGGGGACATGTTCTTCCTAGAGGATGGCGCCCTTATGAGACGTCAGATGATCGAGCATGCGGTCAAGAAGCGTGGCAAGAATCGTCTTGCAGCCCAGGGCATGTCTGAGTGGGAGCTTCTGAAAAACTGCCTGCCGCCAGGTGCAATTGTCCGCTTGGGAGAGTATGATGACTTGCGACTGAAGAGAGATGAGCCCGAGGGATGTTTCCTTGCAGACGTTGAGCAGTGGCCAGGCCGGCGCCTGGGTCGTGGTGGCTGCAATTTTCCATGCCAGCTGAGGCATGGTACCGTGGTCAGTTGGAGACATGCCAGAAAGGCCACCGGTCTGGAGCATCTGGCGGCCCAGGGCTACCATGTTTTTCGCCGCACTGGAACGACATCTGACCTGAGTGGACTCTTGCGAACCTTGGATGATGTCCAGCTCAAACAATTGAGTGGCAATGGATGGTGCCTACCGGCCATGTGTGCTTGGTACCTGTATGTGCTCTCTAATGTTACAAGGCGCAGGATTGAGCATGTGCAGCCATCGTTGTCAGTGTCTTTGCAAAAGCAAGCAAGCTGGGAGGAGTTTCCGCCAGACTCCGATGGGGAATCCTCCCATTCTTCTTTGTGTGTGACAGGCAATGGTGGCCATGCTGGGGGTGAGATCATGTCCAATGTGGAGAATGGTGCTTGCGATGATGATTCCAAATTCCAAGTCTGTGCTGCAGAGCTGTGATTGTGTCAGACCAGAGCATTGCAGCAGCCCAGCTATATGACACAGTTAGCAGTTAGCAGCAGCTCCGTGCAGTGTCAGGGTTTCATGACATGATAGCATTGTTTGCAATTCGCAGCGCTTCGTCTTTGCTAGGGGCGAAACAAGCGGGGGGCACCATGGTTGGGCGAGTGAAAAAACCTGTGGTCATCACTTGTTGTGTGAGTGTGAGTCCTGGGACATGTCAAGTGATTGCTTGCTCTTGCCAACGCATGCTATGGTCAGCACATCCCTGAAGCAGAGAAGCGATGTTGGAGTGCATGCTTGACATCAGGATTTTGCCCAATTCTTGCGCCAGGGTATCCACATTCCGCATGAGACAGTTCAGACTTGAGTGCGGCAAGGAAGGTCATGTTCAGTTCATTTCATTTCATTGACACGTCTGTGTAAATTTGTTGCAGCGCAGGCGCAGGAAAGGTTGTTGTGCAGCCATGGATGAAGATGATTTTTCTCCGGTGGGGTTGCAAGCAGGGGCAAGCCCGGGGAAGAAGGCCAGCAGATTGAAAGGACTCAAGCCTGTCTCCCCCAAGAAGAACAAGGGTAAGCCTAAAGGGGCAGGCAAGGCAGCTCGTGGGGCAAAGACTGGCAAGGGGTCTCGCCCGGGCAAACTGCCCTGCTTGTGTTGCAGCCAGCCTAGAGTGTCCAACACTCGGTTTTGTAAGGAACACAAACGGAGTGTGGACGCGATGTGGTACCAAGCAGAGGCAGAAGTTGAGAAGGACCCAGATTCCGAGGCTAAAGAGATCTTGGACGAGATCATGGCTGACGATGGGCGGGCTGCTGCAGCGGTGACCAAGTTCTCGAAAGACAACCCGCCAACCGCCAAGTACAAGCGCAAGGCCCTGATCAATTGGACCGAATACCGGCGGTCCTTTGGCGTGAAGGTGACCAGGCGCGACAGGACCAGCGATGTGCCGATGACGGACGTGGAGTTCAAAATATGGGCTACGGGCACCAAGGGCTTGAGCGAAGAGCAGGCTGATGCTTGGTGGAAGAAGTTGCTCGATGACCCGAACACAGACCGGGATTACGAAGGGTATGCCGGGGCTTTGCAACTCTTCATCCCAAATGCTCTTCGTGGTAGGGATCGCCTACGTGATCAATACATTGACAATAGGCAAGAGGAGGGGTCCACTCGCGATAAGAACCCCAAGCCCGAGCATGTTCAGGACCTACGAGACCATGTGCAGCGCCAGGAAGTGAGCTTCGCCGATGACTTCTTCAAAGGCCTGCGCTTTCAACTTTCAGCCTCCTCGCTTCATATAGGCTTCCTTGAATTTAATTAGCCTTTACTATAGCCCTAGACCCATAATCCAAAATCCAAGGGCCCCACACCTAGCCCCACACCCCTGATCCGATATTTCAGGCAACGCTTCCTCATCGATGGAGATGGAGAAAGAAATCAAGCCGAAGCCGAAGGAGAAGCCCAAGAAGGTGAACCTCGAGCGAGAGCTTCCAAAATTCGGAACGGCAATGACAAAGCATTTGGCAGGTTTGACTGTGGATGTGAAGAAGGCATTGGCTTCCGCCAACTTGGCGGCCGAGAAGATGGAGAAGACAGACATGTCTTTGTCTGACAGGCCCTCGCACATGTTGACCTCCACTTTGCAGTTTCGCATGCAGCTCGCCGTTCGCTGGTTGGGTGACTCAGACAAAGTCATTGTGTTGGGCAAGCAAAAGCCTGCTGCTGCTGTTCCCGCAGCTGCCACAGCTGCTGCTGCAACCGCGGTCACAGATGCTGAGGCTGAGACCAAAGAGCAGCCCAAGGATCAGCCGGATGCAGGCGCAGATGAGGCGACGCCCAAGAAGCAGCGCACAGGTGACTCTGCAGCTGTTACCTCGTCACCGGCCCCCAGTGAGGCGTCTCTCCAGATTGTGTTCGCGTCTGCAGATGATGATGTCCTCGCCGCGTACAAGGAGAAGATCCGCAGACAAGATATGTGCACGCTTCTCAAGAACAACCCGCAGAAGCGCCCCTTTGATGGCGAAGCGAAGGATTTCCTCTCGCATGTTGAGATGCAGAGTAACATGCAGCTCATCCTCGAGATGGAAGATGCAGACAAGTTCGTGGAAGCTCGAGACTCCTGGAACAGGACGGTGAACCTTGTCAAGGAGTTTGCGAAGAACTTGTCCCGGGCTGCCACTGATGTTGTGGGCCATATCAAATCCTTGGAGACGAAGTGCAAGATCCAGAAGGAGAGGGCAGACAAGGAGGCGCAGAAGAAGATTGTGGCGAAGGCCCGCGAGGATGCGAAGACAGCCGCCGATGCAATCCGCGCTACCATGGAGCAGTCCAAATCAAAGCCCTCCTTCCTCGACCTGCCCTTCGACACCTTGAACATCCCGAAGATCAAGCTCTACGATGGTAAGGTTCCCGAGGGCGCGTCCCTGGACGAGCCGTTCATCCTTGAGAAGCATGATGCTCAGAAGCTTTGGTGCGCCAGCAAACCCGTGGACAAACTCCTTGCGTCCTATGCAATTTCTTGCAAGAAGGCGCAAGACTACAAGGCCACCGGACGTGGGCAGCAGCCAATGTTGGACCAGCAGGCGGCTAGCGAAACCACCGACCTTGTCTCCAAGATCCTGCCGCCAGACGCGAAGTTTGTCGACATCGCGAAGGTGGAGGGTGGGGAGAAGTTCATGAAGACAGTGTGGTGCTATTCCTTTGCCCCAGGAACATCAATGATGGCCCTTCCGCCCAACTGCGCCGCTTTTGTGAAAACGCAGGTCTTTGGGCACACAACGGTGATCTTGATCAATGTGCAGTCTTTGCTGAACTACGCAGAGTCTGACCCAGAGTTGCAGCCGGCAGCCACTGCCAAGAGCAAAGATAGACTTCTTGAAGAGCTTAGCCAGTGGAAGCTTGAGAACGTCAAGAAAGCCTTGACAGAAGAGTCAACGGAGCCCTCGCTGGAGATGCGCATGGCAGCTTTGGGCCCCAATGCCTCTCTTTTCGTTCCAGTTGGCTGGTTGACCGTGGAGCTCGTCCCCAAAGACCAGAGTGTGGTCTATGGGATAAGAAAGTCAATGTTCATTGACACCAAGGAGTCGAAAGAGGCCTACAAGACCCTCCGCGAGCTCTACCAGGGAGATAATCGTGATGTCACCCGCATGAATGTGATTCTTTCAAGTTTTGAGTCGTAGGGCTCCACTTGAGGGCCCTGGCTGTATCATTAGCTGCTTGAAGAGCAGCCCTGTGACTTTCATGTGCTTCGCAGGTACCTGCAATCATTCTGCGTTAGGTTCTCTTGCGTTCGCAGTGGGTTCCAGAGTATAGGTTAACAAGCTGAATTAGATCAATTCTCCGGGATAAGTGAATCTACGTTCCCATATTGAAATAGATAGGTCAGCTACTGATAGTGGGTGAATTCAGATGATTGCTGGGTGCCTGCTTTCCGCACACGCGCCTGAGATGTCATGACTTCAGCTTCAACACCGGTGCCTGAGCAATCGAGCGAGAAACATGTTCAGCGCTGTTTGTAGTGCTCTGAGTGTCCAATGATGTCATCTTTTTTTGGATGCCATGGATTCACCGAAACGTTCAATATTCCATATTGCCAATGGCATTGTGCGCTGCGTGCGCATGAGAAGCCATGCCATGTACAGGCTACGCCGCAACGCCGTCCCCGATAATCCAATCTCAGTCCTAAACCCCAAATTCCCAAGTTTAAGGTTTGGCTTATGGTTTCCCCCCCATTCCCACCGCAAGGCGGCAGCGCAACAACAATCCCAGGGTTTCCAGGCTACAGAGGGGGCGTTGGTGGTGGGGTGTTGCACTTCCGTGAAAATCGTACGCCCAGGCCTTGACGGCCTTGCGCATGAGACCTGCGCATGCATTCCGTTGGCTGCAATCAGCATGTTCAAAGTTATGCGCTTGTTTGTTTGCCTAAACCCTAAACCAAACCCTAAACCCTAAACCAAACCCTAAACCCGAGTCCTTAAACCCTGAACCTTAAACCGCGTGCTGAGAATGCTTGCGGTCAGGCATTCCAGCGTTGAAAAAGGTGAAAATGCAGGAAGACCAACCATGTATTGGGCGGCTTGTGTTGACAACAGTATTCAGCAACGTCTAAATTGTGAATTCTATAGCCCAGCCGCGCTAACCTTGAATGCTTCAGCCGTAAACCCTCAAGTTCAACGCAACAACCCGAAAGCCTTGAAACTTCATCCGTGTTCCCCTCAAACCTTCATCCCAAATCCCCACACCATAAAATCTTCAAGTCTGCAATGCAAAATCCCGCGATCCAAGCGTCACAACTTCAACGCAACGCAAAAAGGGTCAAGCCTACCGATTCAACATGATTTTTGGAACAGCCGCTGGGCTGTGATATCTTTTTGCTGAGAAGTCTTGTTTGGCAGCCTGATGATTCTTTTCAGATGGGTTTGTCATTTCAACTTCCATTTTCATCTTTTTCATGGTTGTTGCCACGTCACCATTTTTTGGATCCCTGGGGGCGTGCAGATTGAAAATTGCCAGTTTTGACCGTCAAAGTTGACAAAA